GAACTTTGCTTTGTGTGTGTGTGGGACAGGAGAACCCAGCCCTGTGTGTGTGTGGGACAGGAGAACCCAGCCCTGTGTGTGTGTGGGACAGGAGAACCCAGCTGTGTGTGTGTGTGGGACAGGAGAACCCAGCTGTGTGTGTGTGTGGGACAGGAGAACCCAGCTGTGTGTGTGTGTGGGACAGGAGAACCCAGCCCTGTGTGTGTGTGGGACAGGAGAACCCAGCCCTGTGTGTGTGTGTGGGACAGGAGAACCCAGCTGTGTGTGTGTGTGGGACAGGAGAACCCAGCCCTGTGTGTGTGTGTGGGACAGGGGCTCTGTGTGCTGGGGTCTCTGCTGTGCTCAGTTCCAGCTCTGGGGCTGTTCCTGGCTCCAAACTCTGTACTCAGAGTTGTAGCAATGTGTGGTTGGAGAAACCTGTTGTAAGAATCAGAAGGGTGAAGCTGTTCAGTCCCGCTGGCTGTAACTGCTCCACTTTTCCATAGAATATGTTGGATGCTCTTTGACATGACTTTTGACAAAGTGTCTGCTTGCTTTCTGTTATTTTTTCCAATGAAATATCTTGGCAAAAACTATTGAACTTTCTCTGGGAACTCACGTTTCAATTTAAAATTCAATGTTTAGGTTGAAGACCAGAACTCTGTGAAAAGTTCAGCTGGAGAGAGTTGGCTGCAATAACTCAATGTGTGTTTAAGTTTGGTTTGTTTAAATCTTGTTGTGAAGAGCTTTGGGCAGTCTCAATAATTACTTCAGACTGCAACTCTTTACTTTAAATACTTTCCACATTAAAGAGATAAGGTTGGTTGTGAAAAGCTTCCATTTATGTGGCTCAGAAGATTCCAAGGGCCTCTCAGACAACATAAGTACAGGAACATTGGAAAGTACACAGAGGGCAGGAGCAGCACGTAGTGTGCAGGCAGGAGGGAGGGAGGGGAGCCTGGAGCAGGAGGAGGGTGAATGGAGCTGCTCTTTGTGACAGGGAGCACCGTGCTGGCATCATCTCATCTCGTGACTGGGAACAGAGCACAGAGGCTGCTTGAGCCTGGGCCAGAAGGCTCCTGCACACGGGATTCCAGCACTGATGGAGTGTGTGGGAGGCTCTTCCCCAGCAGCTTCCACTGCCAAAGCCCTGTGGGTGTCAGAGCCCAGCGTGACACACGAGCACAACCTGCCTGCAACCTGACTCATGGGCACTGCAGCTGGGAAAAATAATAAAAATCCCAAAATCAGAGCCCTGGCTGAGGGGGAGAAGCTTCAGGGCACCTTGGGGGTGCAGGGGTGGCTGTTGGCTGAGCGGGGTGAGGTTGATCAGCAGAGCAGGAGTCACCATCCTTCCTTTCCCTTCCTTTCCCTTCCTTTCCCTTCCTTTCCCTTCCTTTCCCTTCCTTTCCCTTCCTTTCCCTTCCTTTCCCTTCCTTTCCCTTCCTTTCCCTTCCTTTCCCTTCCTTTCCCTTCCTTTCCCTTCCTTTCCCTTCCTTTCCCTTCCTTTCCCTCCTACCTGCTTGGGCTGCTGATGGATCAGGGGCAGGATCTGGGGGAGGTTTCTGTGGGAAATGGATTTGTAGAGAACTTTTAAAGTTTGATAGAAGGTTTGTATAGGAGGTATTTGTATTTAAACTTTGAGATGTATTTGTATTTAAACTTAGAAATGCCATGGAATAGGAGAGACATTGCTGAGAGAGAAATGGAGCTAGAAATAAGTTTCAAAGGATGGCCTTACAAAGAAGGCTGGATACTTTAGAGAAATAAAACTATGAAAGATGCACTGTGGTAGGACCCACAAGGGGTGATTTTAGATGATTGGCTTTGAGGCATTTACAGCATGGTGTGACAAAAACTGGTAAGTCAAGAAATGTTTATAATGTATTGTAATTAGGGAATAATTGGCTTCTGATTGTGATGGCGTGAATTAGAACATCTGTATTGTCTCACCTTTGACATGAGACTAAAAACAGAACAAAAGTTTTTAAAACACCTCTCAGTTATCTCATCTGTGGGTCAGAAAAGAGCATACTCCAACAGTTTCTATTCCATTTGCCTTTTGGTTGCCTCAGACTCCCTGCCAGTGCCATATCCAGTTGCCTGCACACAGATGTGATGCCTGTTGCTGTTCAATGTCCTTTCTGATTAAATCAAACAACCATAATGATGAAATGGGGCTGGAAGTTTCTCTAAGAAAAGAGAAGCTGCTCTGTATTCCCTTCAGTTATGTTTTCCCCTTCCCTTAATTTTCTACAACCAGCTCTGCTTTGAAGAAATGTAGGAGATCCCAATGGATTTTTTAAAAAAAATTATTTAATTATTTTGGCGAGATTTGCTTGAGACCTTGGGAGCTTCTCTGCTCAGCCAAAGTCTGTTAGAGAGTGAAGTAAACTTGGAAAGTGTTTCAGCATGAGGAGTTCAGCTGCAGTAGGTGTGGAACTGGTTTGGATTTCTTTATTCCCAGATAATGTCACAAACTAAACTCAGAGACACCTTCTGCCTGGAGTTTCCACGTGAGGTTGTGCAAAGTCCCTTAAATTGGCTGATCTGTAGTTGTGGATGTGAATTGTGATTTATTATTATTATTTTTAGACTGATTTTTTTAACCCAAGACAGAAGAATCTTAATTAGACAATTTTAGCCACTTATAGGGATATTTTCATGAAGACCTGTAGGAGCAGGGGTCTCTCATGTGCTCTGCTCTCACTGCAAGTGTCCAACCCCAGAACTTCCTCCCAGGAAATGGTTCTGCCAGAATAAGCCTGAATTCACTTTTCTGGTCAATGTGCTTGTGTTGATAAAGCAAATTATGACCCTGCAGGAACACTGGGTGTTGACTGGGAGAGCTGGATCAGCCAGGGGGGCTCTGCTGGGATAATTCTGCATGGAGTGAAACATGAACATTTCTGGGAGATGTTTATGGATGAGCTGCTGTCCTGGGTTATTCTTACACTTGGCAGATAAGAAATGAGAAGAAAGAGAAGTTCTCCTCCGTCCTTGTCCCCTCCTTTCAGTGCACAGAGAAAAGAGGAGAGAACACATTCTCTTTTATTTGTGCACTGCACTGAGAGGCAGGAGCAGGTTTTAGCTTGATTGTTTCCCTGGTTTCTAGGCCAACATTTATCAGAAGAATTACCTGACATTCCTGGGAGACTGGCTTATGGATGCTGCTGTTTTCTGTAGGGTTTGGACTGTCCCAGCCCCAAATCTGTTCTGTGCTGTTTGGTTGTTAAATGTGCCCAGGGCAATGCTCAGGCCCTGTGTGATCCATCCCAAATGTCCTGGCTACTGTTGTTGGCTGATTTTCCTTCTCCATGTTGTAACTGGAATAATTTGGTTTTCTTGGCTTAGCCTTCCTTGTGACTTCTAGATTTGGGGTTAACTTGTCATCTGAAAAGATGAGGTTTTTTTCTGGTGGAATAATATTCTCTCATAGCTTTAGCAGAGAATCTCAAACTGGTTTGAGTTGGAAGGCACCTTAAATATAATTTAATTCTAGTTTTCACCATCTCAGGCTGCTCCAAGACCCATCCAATCTGGCCTAGGGCACTGCCAGGGATCCAGGGGCAGTCACAGGGTGACACACCTGATCCAGGGCCTGCCCACCCTGCCAGGGAACAATTCCTGCCCAAAATCCCATCCATCCCTCCCTCTGGCAGTGGGAGCCATTCCCTGTGTCCTGTCCCTAACTCTCCATATTAAAATTTTCTCTCCCCTCTGTTTCTGAGCCCCTTTAAGGCACTGGAAGGATGGCAGAGCTCAGAAATTCTTGCCTGTTTGTCCTGAGATTTTTAACTAGGCATTAAAAAGGGTTGTGTACAAATTTATTGGAATGAGAGCTTCTGCAGGTCTGGCTGATCCCAAGTGCATGGAGAGGTTATACAAGGGAAAATGTGTTTCCTCCTGAAAATAGGAAAGCTGAGATAATGATGGAAAATGCTTCCATTTGACTCAGATCATGTCCTTCCAGGTCTTGCAAATGAAATAATCCAACCATTTGCTGTTATCAACCATCAGTGGTTTTCTTCTTTCCTTTCCCTGCCCCCAGTCCTCTGCTTTGTTACCTGTCTCTGCCCTTTGCTACAGAATTTCCCCTGGTAACTACAGAAATGACATTTCTGCAGCACAAAGCAAGGGAAATGATTTGAAGGAGCCTTTGCACTTGTATTTCTGCAAGGGCTGTAGATACAAGACTCTTAATTAAAAGGTCAAAGCCACTTGCAGAAACAAATGTCTAAATATAACCCCAGCTTGGTGCAGATGGACTCTGGTAACCAGGGCTGGATCCATCAATGTGTATGAGGAACTCCTGTGGCTTCCCTAAAATAGAACTTTTTTTGTACAATGCTGCATATAAATGCAGCTCCAAGAGCTCTTTCTTAGCATGAATTTGTAATAATTTGTGCTTCTGTTGCTCCTGAATAAACTCCCAAATGAAATCAGCAAACCTCAGTGTCTCACCCTGCTGTGGATGTGTGCTGCTCAGGGTTTGGTGTGTTTTGGCTTTCAGCTCATGAGCAGGGCTGCATATCCAGACCCTTTTCTGTGTGCTCTGAGGCTGTTTTTCCTGCACTGACATCTGCTCCCACTGTTTATTGGCTGCTTTATTTTGGAAAGCCATTCCCTGTGCAAGAATCTCACTGCCCATCTGGAGCTGGGAGCCTGTGCCAGATGCTGGGCCAGGGGAATCAGCTGCTCTTTGGGAGCTTGCAGGGAAGTACCTGCTGCATCCCAACAATCCCAAAGGCTTCAGTCCCGCAATCCCCAGCCACACATCCCTGACTGCAGGTAATGACAGAGAAATGAATAGAATGACAGTTCAGAGACACTTGAGAAATTTATTTCCTTAAGCTTTATTTTTCCTTAGAGGGCTCATTTTGATGGTTTTAATGGGTGGAATTCAAACATTCCTATCCCTGTATGCTTGGCACCTGTATCCTAAAAAACAGTGTGTTTTTAATTTCTGTAAACTCCTGACAAACAGCACCTGATGTGTCTTTTTTTCTGTTTAATTTCAGGACAAACACCATGATGCTGCTCATGAAATCATTGAGACAATTCGGTAAGTGCTGGCTGCAGCCTGCCTGGGACCCTTCCTGTGCTCACTGCAGCTCTGGGAGGGGATGGCTGGGCTCAGGACACACAGGAGGGCAGCAGTTTCCATTTAGCGCCTCTGAGTTGTTTTTCTAAGCTAAATTTGCTGCAATACAGAGCTCCCTACCAAAAAGACTTTTGTTTTATTTTGCCATATTCCATTCTGTTGTGAACAGAGTTCAAAATGAGTGGTGGTGCTCAGTTTAATACTTGTGGCAGTTGGTATTTGAGCTGTGGACAGGCAAGGTTAAGGGAACATCCTTGGCTTGATGTGTTATGTGCTGATCTTGCCTCTGCCCACCCTCTCTGTTTCCCCTGTTGCTGTGATCCTGCAGCATTTGGGTTGTTTGGCAATGATCTCCCTGTAGCATTGCTCCTAATCCTGCTGATAGAGTTGGAACAGCGTGGGGAAAATGGGATGATAAAGGTGAAAGACAACTGAGAGGAGCAGGAAATCAGAGGATTTCCCAACACAGGCTCTCAGGACGTGACTTGCTGTTATTTCAGCAGGATTAGGAGGGGACTTGCCAAAGAACAACTTTTAATAAATGCTACACGAATTCCCCAACCACCTGAGGGATGAGGATGAGTTATCCCCATTACAAAGCTGCTCTTGTTAACTGTTGTGGATCCTCACAGGCTGCCCTTGGCTCAGCTCAGGGCTGTGTCTGCAGCAGGGTTTAGTGCTTGGGTGGTGCACATACAGCTGAGGGAGGAGCTGTTTTACCTGCAGAACCACCTGAGCTCAAAATCTGGTCACACATGGCAAAGGCAAAGGTAGCAGTGAGCCCTGTGTGCTGCCAGTGTGAGTGTGAGAGAGCCAAGTGCTTGGTACCATCACTCACCTGCCTGAAATCAGCATTTCCTGTGGGCTGGGGGCAGAGGATGTGGAATGAGGCTGGAGCTGAACATTTTCTCCTAAAGGAATTTCTTTTTCTATCTACAAAGCGCTGCCATGGTGCTGCCAGTTTGCTTGGACTGGTGGGGATAAGATTCTGCATTTTTTGGGGTTTTGTGGCATCATTTTTGGGCCCCTTTCCAAGGGGCTCAGAGGGGGTGGCTGCAGTGGTTGGTGCTTTCTGTGCTGGATGGAGGCAAAGGGAAGCTGCCTTAGGAAGCAGTTGGGTCAGGTGATGTTTCACAACTGTTTTCTGGAGTGAATTTGGTGTCAGAAGTGCTGCCCTTGCCTTGTGCAAAGTGCCCACAGTGTTGTGAAAGTGTTGGTGAGAGAATGCAGGGAATATCGCAATATCCCTTTATCTCATCAGGCAGTGGAATTATGGAATATCCCTGGACACAAGGATCCAGCTGCTGACTGCCTGTTCCTGGGATTTAAGAAGCACCAACCACTCCAGCCACCCTTCTGAGCCCTGGTGCTTTTTGGGGGAGATGTGAGATACCAGAAAAGGGCCAACCATGCATGTCCAAGTTCTGGTTTTCACTGGCTTGTGTAATTATTAACCATGTGTGAATCAGCCAGAAGGAACAGAACTGTTGTATCTTCAGTATTTTTTTATTCACCATTTTAATAGTGAAGAATGGAGCAAAGTTCATGAGGAAGAAATTCTGTGATTCCTATTGGAGTTCATCCTGTGATGTGGGTTTTTCTGATGCTGACAGCGCTTTCCAATTTGATATTTGTGGATGAAATTTGTGTGCAAAGCTTCTGTGGCTTTTAAATTGCTTTTGAAGGGAATTAATCTTCCTCCATTGCACAAGTGAAGCTCTCTCCTGTGAGCTGCCATTGTTGGATGCACTGCAAGTGGGCATGTGCTGCCCCTTTCTGCTGGCCACAACACACAGGGCTGTGTTAACTCAGAGTATCAAAGGGGTCTTTTAGCAAAATAACTTCTAAAAATCTGGTTTGGTTGGGTGTGTAAGGTGTGAGAGCAGTTTAGGCACTCCCCAGAGGAGAATTTCCTGGCACTGAGTGGTTGGTGAAAGGGTTTTTGGGCTGCTGTGGGAAATGTCTTCTCCACATTCAGCTCTGTCAAAGCTTCCTGCAGCATCAGAATTCTTTGGAAATGCTGCACTTCTGCATTTTCTGTTAGATTAACATCAGCCATGACTTTGAGTATTTTTAGACACGTGGAATACATTTATCACCTCATTTTGAAGCTTTATGCTCCTGCCAGTGTCTACAGGCATCTTGCTGTTTATTCAGTACAAATGTGAACTGTTGCAGTTTCCCATGATGTCTGCCTTATTCCTGAATTCCTGTGAGCTCCCAGGGCTGCTGCAGTGTCCTGTCTTCATACAAAACACTCCCAAATTGAGACAAATAACCTTATTACACCTAATTGGCAATACCTCTATTCATTACTTCTTCTCTCCTTCTAGGTGGGTCTGTGAAGAAATCCCAGATCTCAAGCTTGCCATGGAAAACTATGTTTTAATTGACTATGATACAAAAAGGTGAGAGGAATGTTTTTGTTCCCAGCAGGAGTTGAGGGTGTAGTGAACCAGTGTGTAACTGGTTATTCTTAGACACTACCAACTGAAGTTTTCTCTCAGAACTGGCTTCAGGCTCTGCTGGAGTTATTTTGGTAGGAAATGTGTAACAGCAACATTGGCAAAGGCAGTTGGATTAAGGACATAATTGGAAACTCCACGAGCTCCAGTGCAGCTCTGCTGTACATTGAATTACTCACTGTGAAACAATGATTGGTATCTGCACCCTTGGAGCAGGGCCAGGCTGGGAATCTCAGTGGTTCCTGCTCCTGTAGTAACCAGGAATTCCTGTTCTCAGCAGGCCATGGCAGAGCTGGGTGGCAGAGGGAGCTGCACCTTCCCCTTCTCCCTTTCCTGCATGAATTAAAAATTGAAATTCCCAGGGAGCATGGCCAGAGTGGGAATTTCAATGGTTCCCACTCCTGTAGTAACCAGGAATTCCTGTTCTCAGCAGGCCAAGGCAGAGCTGGGTGGCAGTGGGAGCTGCACCTTCCCCTTCTCCCTTTCCTGCTGGCTGAGGGCTGATTTAAAAAGTGAAATTCCTAGAGAGTATGGCCAGGATGGGAATTTCAATGGTTCCCACTCCTGTAGTAACCAGGAATTCCCATTCTCAGCAGGCCATGGCAGAGCTGTGTGTCAGTGGGAGCTGCATCTTCCCCTTCTCCTTTGCCTGCTGGTTGGGGGCTGAATTCAAAGGTGAAATTCCCAGGAGTGTTGTGGGCAGCTGGAGGGGTTCTGAGGTGCCTCAGCTCCATCGAGTTCAGAATTAATTATGGGATATTCCCCTTTTGGAAGAGGCAGATCCTGACCTGTGCTGTGTCTGTGGAGACTTCTGAGGTTCTGTGCATGGATTTGGCTCCACTGACACTGGGAAAAGGGAGGATGCTCAAGCTGCAGTTTATAAAAACCTCCCTGGTTGCCTTCATGGGAAAGACTGAATTTATCTAAGTGCATAGAATGATTAAACTGTTAGAAGAAAGTTTACTGATGAAACTGTATTGGTGTGAGCAGAATCCCAGAATATCCTGAGCTGGATCCCACAGGGATCATCAGTGCAGCCCTGTCCCTGCACAGACACCCCAGAAATCCCACCCTGAGAGCTCCTGGAGCTCTGGCAGCCTTGGCACCATTCCCTGGGCAGCCTGGGCAGTGCCCAGCAGCCTCGAGGGAAAGAACCTTTCCCAACCTAAACCTCCCCATCAGCAGATACTTCTGTCATGATCTACTTAAGGTGTTTCTTCCTCTTTTCTCAATTTTCATTGTTGCATTGAAAGACTTGTTAGTCTCTGCCTTCCTCCTGGAAAATGCAAAAGGAGTAATCAAGGTCAAGCATCCCATTAAAATCCATTAACTTGGATTTGTGGATTACTCTCAGCAGCTGCATTGCTGTATTTTTGTGGTTCTGGCATCCTCACTGGGTGTGTTTCACTGGGGATTATCAGTGTGGTTGGCAGCAATGCTGAATAAAAGGGAAACCTCTCTGTTCCCCAAAGTCACCCCCACTATCTTCCTGCAGCTTTTCAAGAAAGTCATGAACTGGAATTCTGGTAAAGATTTCAGTCTTTTTTCTTCCTTTGAAGAAAATTTGTTGGAAAAATCCCTGGCAGCAGATGGGCTGAGGCAGGGATGTGAAACAGAAGCAGCAGCAGGTTATGGAAATGCAGACAAACCCCATTGCAGCCTCTTCCTTTTTCCAGCATGGAAACAAGCACAGACAGCTGGGAGAGCTCCTGGGAGAGGTGTCCTGGCCACTGTAGTGACCCTGAGGATCAAGACACCATCTCAAGTGTCCCTTTTGATGTCCCCTTGCCAGCTTTGGGAATGCCCATGGTTAATGATGTCACTCCTTTCTGTAACTCCTTGTGTTGTTTTTGCTCTGCTCTGTGGGTCTGGTTACACAACCATTGATGTTCCCAGGATTATATTTTCTTTCCTGGCCTGAGATGAATTGATTTAATCCTCTCAGTTTGTGTCATTAGGGCATCTGCTGGGCTGACCATAATCCCAGGCAGCCCATGGAGCAATCCCCAGGCTTTCCTTTCCTGATGGGTGATGCTTTAGGCTCTGTGCTGGCTCTGAATGCATTTTCAGTCCCAGGGTGAATTTCTGGAAAAGCATCTGCTTGTCTCAGGACTGATTATTGTGGAGAGATGACAGCAAAAAGGAGGAAAATGTACACAGCTCTTAAATTTCTGTGCAGCTGAAAATATGGAGAAGAGGTTCTGAGAATACAGAAGTTTACCAGGAAAAGGGTTGTACTCAAAGTATGACTTCAAATAAAGGAACTAATATTATTTGTCATGTACTCCGGGTCTACTGGGGATTTTATTTAAAGGAAACAAAGACTTAAATCTATGTATGTAATGATATATCCTGAAAAAAGCAAACCCTAAATAGCTACAAGCCAAGAGAATGGAAAAGCACAAAATTTTACCTTCAAACCTGCCTGTTTTGAGCTGCCCCTGTGTTCTCCCTCCAGCTTTGAGAGCATGCAGAGACTGTGTGACAAGTACAACCGAGCCATTGACAGCATCCACCAGTTGGTGAGTATTGAATTTGGCAAAAAGCTGCCACGGTTTTTGTGTGCCACCTTTGAATTCAGGTAGTGAACAGCAGCAGAAAGCTTTGACTGCCTCAGTTCTGCATCATTACTCAGTTCAGTGGGGATAGCAGAGAAAAAAGGAGTGAAGAAACCTTTACACCCACCCCAACTCGATTCAGTGTTGTGCTTTACATTGCCAATTGTTTTTTGCATCTCTTTAAATTCCCCTTTATCACCTGTGAAATTATCTGTTAATTAAGATGTGACAAATGAGATGTTTCAGGAACAGCCTGGAACTTCCAGTTTTTGGGGCGCTTGAGCTTGATATTAAACTTATTTTCTTGATCACACCTGGGCAGTCAATGAGTTAATATTGGAGGGATATTCCTACAGAGAAAAAGGGAATTAAACACCACTTTTTGTTCCCAAATTCTCCTCTTCCTTGTGCACTTCTGGCACTGTTATTTTGGCACTTGGAAACAGCTGACATATCTTTAGGAGGAAGGAAAGGTTCATCTACATTTAACACAGGGATTTCTCATATAGATTGACTTTTGCACAGGGTAATCTGTGACTTATGGGTACTTAAATAATCCATATGAACTCTCCTGTGTGTTGTGGAAGTGATCCATGGCTTAGGAATTTCCTTGCCACAGTTCAGCTGCTCTGGCCTGTGGGATCACTGGCTGAAGTAGAATGTAATCTCTTTTCAGGCCAATTTAATGAGCTTTTTTGGTTCTCTTACCCCCCAAAAAGGTTGAACTGGAGGAAGCAAAACCTGAACAATGAATAATGTTACTATTCTGCTTAACTTGAAAGCATAGGTGGATTTTTTTTTTCTTCTGTGCTTGTGGGAATTATTTGAAATATGCAATATTATTGCAGCAAGCCTTTTTTGCTGGGATTTTCTTAAATATTTTGGGCCTTAAAAACTTGTGCTTATTTTGATTCAGGCACCTTCATGTCTGTGTTGGTTAATAGCTGAATATTAGCAGCTATTCAGCATTTGGAGTTGCTATCTGAACTGGCAAACTTGATGGGTTTAATTTTTTCCTTCCCATTTGAATTTCACAGGAAAGTTTAGGAGGGGTACTGGAATTGCCCTTTTTTGGTTTGTTTTTGTCAAGAGGAGAGGTAGACATTTTTAAAACTTAACAACTTTTCTGCTTAGCATGGGTTTTTTTCTGAAGAAGAAAGGAAGCTTGATTTCCATCTCTTTCCTGCCACTCCCTGTTTGAGTGCATCTGATCCCTCCCATGTGACAGCTCCTGGAGCAGAATTAACCTGTTCTTGTGTTGACAGTCAACATCAGCTCAGTGGGGATAGGAAAAAGGAGAGAACAAACCTTTACACCCATCCCAAAGTGTCAGCTTTACACTGACAATTGTTTTTTCCATTTCTTTAAATTCCCCTTTATCACCTGTGAAATTACCTGGTAATTGAGGTGTGACAAAGTGCAGAGCAACTGCTGCTGTGCAATTTCTGCAGAATCACAGAAAGATTTGGGTTGGGAGGGACCTCAAAGCCCACCCAGTGCCACCCCTGCCATGGCAGGGACACCTCCCACTGTCCCAGGCTGCTCCAACCCTGCCCAGCCCGGCCTTGGGCACTGCCAGGGATCCAGGGGCAGCCCCAGCTGCTCTGGGAAATCCATTCCAGGGATGGATTCCACAATTCCTGATTCCCAGTCTCCCACCCAGCCCTGCCCTGTGGCAGTGGGAGCCATTCCCTGTGTCCTGTCCCTGCAGGCCTTGTCCCCAGTCCCTCTGCAGCTCTCCTGGAGCCCCTTCAGGCCCCAAAAGGGGCTCTGAGGTGTCCCTGGAGCCTTCTCTTGTCCAGGTGAGCTCTCCCAGCACAGGAGCAAAGCAGATTATTTCAGTCCCCAGTTCCTGATTCCAGTCCTGCTTCCCCAAGGACTGAACTCATCTGAACCCATTTCTGTTCTCACTGAAATCAAGGGCACTGCTCAAATACTTTGGCTTGAAGTCACAGGGCTTGGGATCTGCCAGGGGTTCTGAGTTCTCCCTGGAGCCTTTTCTTGTCCAGGTGAGCACCCCCAGCTCTGCCAGCCTGGCTCCAGTTCCATTCCCTGTTTTTATCTTTAAGCAGCAGCTGCAGCCCAAGCTGAGGGTGAGGGGCTAGGAGGGACCTGTCCCTCATTCCTCGGTGGGTTTGGTGCCGCTTCCTTGTCCCCACTGTGGGTTCACCCTCATCCCCCTTCTGAGAAACAACTGTTGACTTGGAAAATTTAAAAAATTAATTCAACCTTAACAAAAATACAACAAAAGGACTCTCTAAGGGAAAATTCACAGCACTGGGAACTGCCCCTGCTGCATACCACATGGCTGGTTCATCTTCAAGATTGATGCTCAGTCTTTTATACCCTTGGGGGTTGCATCAACCCTCCCAAAGTCCGTCAGTCAGCTCTTTGCCATTTATCAATGGAGACTGCTTTGTAACTGGATTGGAGGTCAGGTGTTGCCATGCCTCATCCCCATACCACCCGCAAGCTTTTCCATTCCCAGCTGCCACATGCTAGGGACACATGTGCACACCTTCTTTTTTACCTGTCCTAGACATCCCAGGCTGTCTGATGGTCACAACTTGACCAACCACACGACGCCTTGCTGGAATGTTAAGCCTGAATGACGGGACTCACTCAGCAAGGGGGCGAGGGGGAAGAGGTATAGGCACACCTGGGAGGTGACCTGGAAGTCTAAAATGGGACATTACAGCACACCACAACAGCTCAGGACAGCCAGAGGGATGTTCTGGGTTCTGACAACCCCCGGTGAAGTGGTTGTGGCTGTGATAGACTCTGTATGAGGCGGTGTAGGTCCAACCATCTCAAGTGGTCCTACCATCTCTGCCAACCTGTGCTGAAGTGTTTGGCTGTGATAGACTCTGTATGAGGCAGCGTAGGTCCGACCACCTCCTGACCCATCTGTCCCTGCAGTGGAAGGGCACCACGCAGCCCATGAAGCTGAACACCCGTCCCTCCAACGGGCTCCTGAGGCACATCCTGCAGCAGGTCTACAACCACTCGGTCACCGACCCCGAGAAACTCAACAACTACGAGCCCTTCTCGCCCGAGGTCTACGGAGAAACCTCCTTCGACTTGGTGGCCCAAATGATCGATGAGATTAAAATGACAGAGGATGATTTGTTTGTTGACTTGGGCAGTGGTAAGTGAGCAATAATTCCTTTTTCTCCTTTGCTTTGTTTTCTCTTTTTCTTTATACTTTAAAAACCTCACATTTGGGAAGCCAAATATGGGCTAATCCTGTAACACAGCCCCCAGGGCTGAGGGTTATGTTACAGGATAAGCATTGTGAAAAAAGCCAATCACTTGTTTTTAAAATTTTAAATGTTAAATAGTAATAAAATGGTTATAAGAATAGTAATATAATTACAGTAATAATAATTTGGAACAATTTGGATTAGGACAATATGAGACAATAGAAACAAAGAGTTATGGACAGTCCAGGTACCTTTTTCTGGGCAACATAAGCTGGAAAAAGGACACAGTTAACAGAGGATTAACCCTTAAAAACAATAACCTGTTGCATATTCATACACCTCATACATGATGCATAAATTCCATTCAAATACAGAACTCTGTCTGGTCATCGTGAACTTTTTCTTAACCCTAACTGGCATCTTCATGGCTGAGTGAGATGGGAAGAAGTTCATTTCTCCTGATAATGGAACAATAAATTCTCTTTCTCTTAAAGATTCAGGTGTCCTGTGGCTGCTATCTGGTGTGAGTCCTTTCTTTAGAAAAAAAGTATCCCACATGGCATAGTCTGCACTCCAGCCCTATGTTATAACCTAAAACTATATTTAACACAGTACTCAAGAAAACCAATAAAGCATCACTTTCTAACACAACACATATAATATTAATTTTAATATTTGTGAAAAGCCAATAATAAAATACACATTTTTCACAAGCATCTTTTCCAGATAATCCCCAAAGATGCTCTTGCTTTTTATGCCAGGATTAAATGGACCAGACAAACTCCCCCAGACCTCTTTTCTGTGGCAGGGAAATTTCAGCCTGCAATGCAATAAACCCTTGTTACAAACCCCAGTGTTTGTGTTGCTATTGTTGGATACACTTGTGAAGAAGAAGAAATGTTAAAAATGATGTTTGACCCATCCAATTGCATTCCTAAGGGTTCATCTGTTTTCACTGGATTTGCTTTGTGCCTTTCATATCTGAAAACTGGATTTCTTGATCCTTCCTATGTCAAACACTTGGTGTGGAATCTGAAAATGAAGGGTTTTTTGACCTCTGACTTGTCAGTGTGTCAAAAAAGCTTTTATAGTTTACTTGAACAGTTGTGAAACCCACAAAATCTAACCCATATCTGCAAGAGTCGAGTTTTAAAAGGAAATTGATGTGTCTGGTTGGTGAGGAAACCAGGTATGACTCAAGCACATGTGCAACAGAGACACTGAGTAAGAAAATGTTCTTTTTCTTGGTAAATCTGGTTCAGAACAGGAAAGGAGTAATAAGAATTTCCCTTCTTCCTTGATGTGTTCTGAAGTTTTAACACATTTAAACACAAACAAGTATGTTTGTGTTTAAATGTGTTAAGTATGATACAGGACTTCTGGGGAAAAATAGATTAAAAAAATTGTATTTTGAATTTGAAAGCATATTTAAATATTAAACAATTTTATATATAAATATTCATTAGTTATGTAATACATAGTAAAACAATAGATTGTAGAATAATTAAATATTAAATAGTATACTGATAAAAAGTATAAGAATATAGTATACATATGATAAAATTTAAAATATACTCATATATAATAAATATACATATTACATGCAATATATTGTAATAATATAGTATATAATATTAGATATAAGATATATATAATATATTGATAATGTAGAAAAATAGACATCTTTATATAAATAAAATAAATAATATGTATTATGTATAGAATATTATATACCATACATAATAGATAATATATAGAATGTAGTATTATATATTATATATTATATATTATATATTATACATTAAAAGAAACGAATGATATTTATTATGTATTGATATATAATATAATATAGTATAATGTAGTATAATATTGTATAATAAGCATACAATATATAGTAAATATAAATAAACAATTAAGAATATAGATATATAAATATTTAAATATATAGATATATAAAATATATGAATATAAGTATTCAAATAAATAAACAAACAAATAAATACACATACAGGCTCCTCAGTGATTTTCTTACCTCTGCTTCCCCTCTCAGTGGGACTGACTGAAATTTCCTGTCAGGGCCTGATGCTCAGATGAGACCTTTAGAAAGACATCAGAGCTAAGAAAGTCTTTTCCATCTGGAGGGAAACAAAACCTCCACAGATTCTCACAATTGTTTGTCCAGGAAGGTTTAAGCAGATCATATCTGAGAGTGCTGCAGGCTGAGTCCCAGGCCTATGGCAGAGACTTTAATCTGCTGTCCCCAGAAATAAATCAGGTGTTCCTCACTCTGGTTTTGGGGCTGAGCAGCACCAGGGCAGTAGGAATGACTTTAAAAATGCCCTGTCCCCAGTTCCCCTGCTGGTTTTTTGTGCTCTCTAAGCCTCTCTCCCCTGGCAGTGGTTTTTTCTCAGGTCTGGGGTTTTTGTTCCTTCCCTGCAGGTGTGGGGCAGGTGGTGCTTCAGGTGGCTGCAGCCACAAACTGCAAACATCACTATGGAGTGGAGAAAGCTGATATTCCAGCCAAGTATGCTGAGGTGAGTGAGCTGGGGGTGCTGCTGCTGGGGCAGGGGCTCTCTGCTGCAGGAAAAGCAGAATTCCAGCCCTGCTGGTTTGCTGCTCTGCTCAGCCTGTCCTGGAGCTGTGAAATATCAGCCATGCAAGGATGGGCTTGAGGAAAGAAGTGTGTCCAGTCTGGAGTGTTCAGAAGCATCTTTCTGGAGTGATTTCAGGCCCTGAAAGCTCTTTTAACAATAATGCCAGAGTCTGTTCAAAGGGGAGTGCAATATAAGCTTCTCCCAAATACCTGCAGTCATTCCATGTCTGGAATGGCTCTAATGCAGCTCCCAGAGGCCACAGCACGCAGCAAATCCAGCAATAAATTCACCATACAATTAGTGTTCAGTATTTTGAAGGCCATGTCTCTGCTTGTGGTGGTGATGCCCCTTTCTCAATGATTAACCCACCAGAATTCCTCCTGAGCCTGTGCTGGTGTCTGCTTAGGAGGCACCTTAGTGAGGAAAACCACAAAATGGCCTGAAGCTGCAGGAGGGGAGATTTAGATTAGAGATTAGGAAGGAATTCTTGGCTGTGAGGGTGGCACAGGGTGCCCAGAGCAGCTGGGGCTGCCCCTGGATCCCTGGAAGTGTCCAAGGCCAGGCTGGACAGGGCTTGGATCACCCTGGGACAGTGGGAGGTGTCCCATGGCAGGTGGAATTAAATCATATTCAAGGTCCCTTGCAACCCAAACCATTCCATGATTGTTTGATAATGATTAGTCAGGCCTCTTTAGTATATTTTAATGTTTATGTTAAAGGTTCTTTAGTGAGGTTTCTTTACATTTCTAATCCTGTGCCAATGGGACACACACACATGATGAGTTCAAGGCACACCTGGGAGGCCACAAGCAAAGGGGAAGGTCAGGCATGGCTTACCACAAGAAGTTTGCTTTCTTCAGTAGCCTGAACAGAAACTGATCCTTCTGAATTGTCAAAACACAGATTCAGCCTGAAGAGCTGCAAAATTATCCCTCATGAAAGGAGGAGGGAATAAATAAAACTCCTTGATCCCTCTCTTCAGTGATGTGGGCAAAAATGGATAAACACAGTGGTGAGGGTGATCAGTCAAGGACCTACAAATCCACTTTATTTCCCCTGCCAGGACTGAGTGGAAGATTTTACCTGGAGAGCTCTGCAGTCCCTCTGTGTGAACATCCTGGTTTTGCTTTGAGGCATTTACAAGACCAGGAATCCCCTCTGTGTTTACCATGAAACTTAGAGATGAACTTTATAAGGAAAAGTGAAATTCTCACTTTTACTAATGCCCCTTCCTGTCACTGTGCAAACACAAGGCTTTGGTGCAAACAGCAAACAAAAGAATGACCCACAAATGAAAAATTAGGGGTAATTACTGCTGGGGTAACTTCAGTCTTCCATGAGATTACTGGGTGAACAAAATGTTCTGCATTATTTCAATCCTGTCAGATTTAACAACCAAGGAGCTGCTGCAGTATCAGAGCGTGTGGAGCTGCCTTGTGCCTCTGTTAGAGCCCATTTTTCCTCCAAATATTTTTAGAAGAAGTTGGGTTCAGTTTCCAGTTAAACTGGCTGTGGCACCACATCTGTGGGTTCCATGATGATAGATGGACAATAAAATTTGAAAAGCTTCACTTAGAGAGGAAGAATGTTACAGATTTATTTCAGTGAAGTTGCCTTAATAAATTAAAATGGAAGTTCCTACATGGAAATACTGAGGATTTTTGAGCTTTCCTGCTTAGGAAATAAATGAAACATGCCTGTGCACACACAGAGTTTTCTTGAGCTGATCAACCATCAGCTTGAGTTCTCAGAGGGATCAGAATTTCTGCTGGGCTTCTCACACAGAATCACAGAGCAGTTTGTGTTGGAAGGGACCTCTTACAGGGTCACCTGGAGCAGGAGACACAGGAATGTGTCCAGGTGGCTTTGGGATATCTCCAGGGAGGGAAACTCACCTCCAAATATTGGCTAAATCCTAAAGATCAGCTGGGCCAGGCTGCTGGCAGGGTGCTGTGGGGATGTGTGAGGCACTGAGCTGCCTGGATATGGGAATTTGTTCCCTTCTCCCTTCTTTGGACAATAAAAACCAGCAGAGCCCTCCCTGCTCTCAGCCCTGGAGTGTTTGGGTGCCGTTTGAAGCACTCTCAGTTGCTGTGGGAAGCAGATTTGCTGCAGGATTCTCCCTGTTTGCTGCTGGGATGCTTTTCCTGCTGCTTTCTGCCTCCTGAGTGACCCCAGCAGACATGGCCTTGTCCTGGCTGTGCCTTTGCTCCCTGGGCTTAGGCTGGGCTCACCCCCCTCCTCCTGGTGGGATTATGCACCACAATTTAATGCTGGGCTATTTTTAGTGCTGGGCTTTTCTTAGAACATGGAATTTCATGGAAAAGGGATGGGGTGAAAATGCCGGCTTTGCTTTGGCCCTAAAAAAGTGAGGGTTTGGTTTTTAAAGGAAACTGAAAAGCAGGGGCTCTGTGTCTGCCTGTCCTTGGAATATTCATGGCAAAAAAACCTTCAAGCAGACAGAATTCCTGGGGATCCATGAGTACTTCAGAGCTGTGTCTCCATTGCTGTGATGGAACTGGAAATGTGAGATGTCCTCATGGCTGGTTTTGCTTTTCTTCCCTCTTGCAGACGATGGACAGAGAGTTCAGAAAATGGATGAAGTGGTATGGGAAGAAACATGCAGAATACACAGTGAGTGACACTCAGCTGCAGATTGGGATCCACACCCCTGTGCAGAGTTTGTGAAGTCCCCTCCAGCCTCTCCTCAGGCAGCAGCAGCTGAGGCACAGCTGCTCCTGGTTCTTGTATTGATCCTGGGGATGGTGTTTCCAATTTATCCACTCAGACCCTCTATTTGTGTTGCCTGATGTGGGGTATGCTGTTATTGGGAGCATTTCCAGGTCTTTCCAGAAACTTTTGGAAGATTTATTCTTCTTAAATGTTGTTCTGACTGGGGCTGCCATGAGCCTTCTGTTAGTGTTAAATCCCCTTTCCCCTCCCTCTCTCCATGGATTGGGGTTTTTGCCAGGTGTGGCAGCTCCTTTTTGGGGTTCTGAACTCTCCTGCTGGAAATTAAAGCTGAAGCTTTGGTTCTGCAGGCAGGGGAAGCTGTGGCCACCTGGGCCCGGTTCTGGAGGGAATGGGGGGGTGGAGATTGGAGCAGGAAGCTCCAGGAACAGGTACCAGGCTGGATGGTTCTCAGGGGAAGGTGGTGGGTGGTTCTGGTTTGGAAGAGTTTGGAATTGGGTGCTCTGAAGATGGAGCTGGAGCAGGAGGAGTAATTGAGTCATTATGGGGGATGTTCCTACCTGCGGTAAGGGTTGTGTTGGAATTTGATGTTTCTTTATGTCTGAAGATGTTTTGCCCCGTGCAAATCCATGCACTGTCCTGTCCATTCCTCTCCTTTTCCCTATTTTTTTCCTTTGTAATTGTCATTAAGAAAATTGCTTTCTGCTTAATCATCTCCCAGTCAGGAGATGGATGTGCAATAGGAACCCATTAGGAGTTTTGAAAACACATCTGTTTCTGTTTCTGCCACTTTCCTGTGGGCAGGGAAGAGCCTGGGTGGATCAGGGATATTCCCAAATATCCCAGGGAAGCCAGGTCACTGCTCAGAGGCTGCAGCTGGCCATGTGTGCTGCATCCAGGTGTGAGCAAGGATTGGGGAACTGCCTTTTCCTTCCTCCCTTTTCCTTCCTCCCTTTTCCTTCCTCCCTTTTCCTTCCTCCCTTTTCCTTCCTCCTTTTCCTTCCTCCCTTCTCCTTCCTCCCTTCTCCTTCCTCCCTTCTCCTTCTTCCCTTTCTTCCTCCCTTCTTCCTTCCCTTCTCCTTCCCTTCTCCTTCCCTTCTCTCTCTCTTCTCTCTCCCTTCTCTCTCCCTTCTCTCTCCCCTGCCCTGTCCCTGGCCTGGTGTGATCCATGTGGATCCCAGCACTGTGGGATCAATTGGAGCTGTCCTGTTTTTTATTTCCTAATTTTCTGTCCCCTGAGACCCTTGGTGCCCTCATCTTGCAGCTCCAACTCTCTTTTGGGAAGCAGGCAGGGAAGGAGATGCTCCCACCTGCCCCTGGCACCTCCCTGCTGCAATTCCTGCTCTGGACAGAGGGATTCCCTTGCAGGGATGCTGGGCCTGCTCTGCAGCAGGATTGATAATTCCTTCCTGCTGTGGGAGCACTGGGAGTGCTTTCCTTTTCCTGAAGTGGCCATATGGCATTTTTCCATTGTGTCACCCAGCTGGCATGACTTGAAAGGAATTGTTCCTGAGGATGCTCTGCTTCTGGGCTGGGTAATTTAAGGAATAGGAGAGGAACTTGGACTAAAATATTGGAAGCATATTGCTTGCCTTAGGCAGCATTTCCATATTGAGCATTCCAAGTGACAGAGTCTGCTGCTATATTGAAACAAAGCTATTTATTTTTGCCAGGTTCTTTGGCTTTTATAACTCTGTTTTCTGCAGTGTTTAGAGTAAAATTTCCCTGAATATGCAATCTGAGGTTTTTTGGGGAAGAGTTAAACACTTGCAGCACTTCTCATCTGAAGGAAGGTTGGTTTCCTGTCACCTTGAAGTAATGCTTGAACACAGATTTTGGGCTTTTACAGGAGGCACACAGGGCAGGTTTTATTTAGGTTTTATTCATTAAACAGACTTTTGCCAGACAGTTTATTTCCTTTAGAAACTCCTTAGCAGCATCTGCTATAGGTGACTGTTAAACACAGAGCAAACTTACTCATGACGCAGCTGAAGGACACAGGAAGGTGTGGAATTGAAAACCTGGCATCTTTGTCTTTCTGGAAAACAGCTTTGTTCCTGCAAAATGCTTTGTGAGGTCCCAAAATTCCAAATGTTGGAGACAAAATAAGCACAAATTGAAATAATCTGTCATCAGCAGAACTCAACTCGTGAGTTCCACTCCAGTGTTAGAGGCAGGCATATGAAAAATCAGGGTTTGGAGAAGAATCAGGTGCTGGAGGAGGGGAGGGCTTGGTGGGAGTTCAGTGGGAAGAATTTCAGATCCCACCTGCAGCTCTGGCTGAACTTTGTGGATGCTGTTTCTCTCTTGCTGTAAATTAAAAACTGTGGTGCCTGAGGCAGCAATAAATCCTGGAGATGCCCTGCAGGGTCGTGCTGGGTTTTTAGGGTGTTTTAATAGCCACAATCCCAGCACAGTTAGAGATTTCCAATTCAAATGGATTTAGGGTTCTCCCTGAGAAGTGATCTGCTGAAAAGTTGACTTTTGCAGAGTGTTCCACACTTGTTTGGGATTGTGCATGTCTCCAGTTCCTTGTTACTTGGGAAATCATGATCTCTGTAGCTTTTCACCATCTCCAGCCTTCCCAGCTGGTAGAATCTTGCTGAAGAATATTTTCTGTCCTTTTTGCCTGTTGGAGCAGTCCAAGGGACTCAGAACCTCATGATGTTTTTGCAACTTACCCCAAATCCTCCCAAGAGGATTTTTTTCAGCTTGCCATTAAAAGAAAGTTGCTGGGAATGTAAATAACCAAAACCCCAGGACCCCCAAAACTCCTCAAACAATAAAGTTGTGTTTGAGATGCCTTGGAGAGAAGGGCAGTCACTGTCCCCTCACCAAATTGTTCTGCAGCCTTGAAATTCAGCTTCTGTCCTTCCCCATTGGATTGTTCTTAGTGCAGGAAGTTCTGAGCTTGGACATGAATGTTGGAGAGCAAGGCCCCGTTCATTTAAAATAAACCCCAATTGTCCAACTATGTTTCCACTCTATTTTGTCCACAATTATATATTAAAAAAACCCCCCTTTTTAGCCATATTTCTACACAAAATTGCAGCCTGATTTGTTCTGTAGTCACTTGGTGAGAAAAGCACATTAAACTTCTCCAGCTGCAGGTGGCAAAGTGTCCTGGGGGTTTTGGATGCCCAAGGCTGCAGAGCCACAGCTGGAAGGGGGGAAAGATCCATGTGGGACATGAGAGGAGAGGGAGGGATCTGCTCCTCATGCATTGCCTTGGGAGGCTCCTGATCTCCAGCTGTTGTTGGTCACTGAGTCTCATAATCCTCTTAAATGAATATTTCCGTGCCCTGCTCTTTGGGAATGTGCAATTCCTGCTCATTTAGGGAAAATCAGATTCTTCTGCTCTTCTCTCCTGCATTCCAAGGGGAGAATCCTCCTCCTCTAGAGCTTTTCATCATCATCTACTTCACCTTTTTGGACTAGAATGTCCACTTCCACCACAAGTCCTTTTGTTCCAACTCTTTTATCTTCTCCTTTCTCTTCCCATGGAGCTCAGAAGTTTCCAAGATTAACTTTACCCCAGTCTTTTCAAGTAAACTTCTCTGAAGGAACAGGAGACTTTGGGAAGGTCATTAGGCCTGGTTAATTAGTGAGTCTTTCTTGGGGAATTCCTGCATGTGTGCAGCCATCCAATTAAAACCCTGCATGGCAATTAAGAGGCAGATGGGTTTTCATGGTTTCTAACTGTAAATATCCTCCTGTGGCCTCAGAATCAGAGCCATCCCAGGTATCTGGGGCAGGAGGCTGAGATTGTTGAGTAGCACAAAGTTCTTCTCTTCCTGGGCTCCCCTTGGAGAAAGTTTTGGATATTTTCTGGTTTTTGTTTAATTCTCAGTGCCTGTGACCTGTTGTTTCCTTTTTGTGAGAGAAGAAAACACAGAGCAGACTTGTCCATGTTCATGATGTACCTGAAGGACACAGGAAGATGTGGGATGGAAAGTCTGGTGTCTTTGTCTTTCTGAAAACTTTGTCCCTGCAAAATGCTGGGTGAAGTTGCAAAATTCTAAAGGTTTTTGTTGAGTTCTCAGTGTCTGTGCTTCCCTTTTCCTGAAAGAAGAAAACACAGAGCAAACTTGTCCATAATGTAAGACCTCCATAGTGGACCTGGAGGACACAGGAAGATGTGAAATAGAAGTCCCAGCATCTTTGTCTTTCTGGAAACTTTGTCCCTGCAAAATGTTTTGTGAGGCTCTGAAATTCCAAAGGTTTTTGTTGAGTTCTCAGTGCCTGTGCTTCCCTTTTCCTGAGAGAAGAAAACACAGAGCAGACTTGTCCATAATGTAAGACCTCCATAATGTACCTGGAGGACACAGTGAGATGTGGAATGGAAAGCTTGGCATCTTTGTCTTCCTGAAAACTTTGTCTCTGCAAAATGCTTTGTGAGATCCCAAAATTCCAAAGGTTTTTGTTGAATTCTCTGTGTCTGTGACCTGTTGTTCCCTTTTTGTGAGAGAAGAAAACACAGAGCAGACTTGTCCATGATGTACCTGAAGGACACAGGAAGATGTGGGATGGAAAGTCTGGTGTCTTTGTCTTTCTGAAAACTTAGTCCCTGCAAAATGCTTTGTGAGGCCCCAAAATTCCAGAGGTTTTTGTTGAGTTCTCAGTGCCTGTGACCTGTTGTTCCCTTTTCCTGAAAGAAGAAAACACAGACCAGACTTGTTCATGCTGTACCTGGAGGACACAAGGAAGATATGAAATAGAAGTCCCAGCATCTTTGTCTTCCTTAAGACTTTATCCCTACAAAATGCTTTGTGAGGTCCCAAAATTCTGAATGTTGGAGACAAAATAAGAACAAATTGAAGGATGCCAGGCTGAGCTCAGAGCAGCTGGGAGTTGCTGCAGTCCCGTGTTGGACTCTGCTGAGATCCAGGCTTAGTTTTGTGTTTATTTACTCAGGGTTCTTATAACAGAATTCCTGCCCTGCT